CGGTGCTGCGAAGGCCGAGGATTGGTTCAGGCAGCAGAGAGGGCGGCTCCTATTGGAGGAGGGACTTGGGCGGGGTGAGAGCGTGGGGGAGACAAGCCCCGCCTCCCTCCGCGCTGATTGGTTCAGGGGGCAGAGAGGGCGGCTCCTATTGGGGGACTCAGTTGCCATGCGTGAGGTCGGGGAGCGGAGATGGAAGCCAAGCCCCGCCTCCCTCCGCGCTGATTGGCTGCAGGGGCGCCGAGGTCGGCTCCTATTGGCGGAGGCAGTTACGCAGGGTGAGAGGACGGCGAAGCCAAGCCCCGCCTCCCTCCGCGCTGATTGGTTCAGGGGGCAGAGAGGGCGGCTCCTATTGGAGGACACCGTTGCCATGCGTGAGGCCGCCAAGGCGTCGATGCCCCGCCTCCCTGCGCACTCTGATTGGCTGCAGGGGCGCCGAGGTCGGCTCCTATTGGCGGAGGCAGCCGCGCGGGGTGGGACCGAGTCGGGGTCAAACCCCGCCTCCCTCCGCGCTGATTGGCTGCAGGGGCGCCGAGGGCGGCTCCCATTGGCGGAGGCGATGGCGGGGCTGGGAGCGGAGCTGGACGCGGAGGCGCTGGCGCTGATGGAGGCGCTCGAGGCGCTGCAGGAGCGGAGGCAGAGCCTGGAGAGGGTCCTGCGGGAGGTGATGGGGATGTGGGGCTGCCCCATAGCGGCGGGTGTGGGGTGCCCCATAGCGACGTGTGGGGGGCTGCCCCATAGCGACGTGTGTGGGGCTGACCCATAGCGACGTATGTGTGTGGGTCTGCCCCATAGCGGCGTGTGTGGGGTGCCCCATAGGGACGTGTGGGGGGCTGATCCATAGCGGCGGGTGTGGGGCTGACCCATAGGGACGTGTGTGGGGCTGCCCCATAGCGGCGGGTGTGGGGCTGCCCCATAGGGACGTGTGTGGGGCTGACCCATAGGGACGTGTGTGGGGCTGCCCCATAGCGGCGTGTGTGGGGCTGCCCCATAGCGGCGTGTGTGGGGCTGACCCATAGCGACGTGTGTGGGGCTGCCCCATAGGGACGTGTGTGGGGCTGCCCCATAGCGGCGGGTGTGGGGCTGACCCATAGCGGCGGGTGTGGGGCTGCCCCATAGCGGCGGGTGTGGGGCTGACCCATAGCGGCGTGTGTGGGGCTGACCCATAGGGACGTGTGTGGGGCTGACCCATAGCGGCGGGTGTGGGGCTGACCCATAGGGACGTGTGTGGGGCTGACCCATAGGGACGTGTGTGGGGCTGACCCATAGCGACGTGTGTGGGGCTGCCCCATAGCGGCGGGTGTGGGGCTGACCCATAGGGACGTGTGTGGGGCTGACCCATAGGGACGTGTGTGGGGCTGACCCATAGCGACGTGTGTGGGGCTGCCCCATAGCGGCGGGTGTGGGGCTGACCCATAGGGACGTGTGTGGGGCAGACCCATAGGGACGTGTGTGAGGCTGCCCCATAGCGGCGTGTGTGGGGCTGCCCCATAGGGACGTGTGTGGGGCTGCCCCATAGGGACGTGTGTGGGGCTGCCCCATAGCGGCGGGTGTGGGGCTGACCCATAGCGGCGTGTGTGGGGCTGACCCATAGGGACGTGTGTGGGGCTGACCCATAGCGGCGGGTGTGGGGCTGACCCATAGGGACGTGTGCGGGGCTGCCCCATAGGGACGTGTGCGGGGCTGCCCCATAGGGACGTGTGCGGGGCTGCCCCATAGGGACGCGTGTGGGGCTGACCCATAGGGACGCGTGTGGGGCAGCCCCATAGAGACGCGTGTGGGGCTGCCCCATAGGGACGCGTGTGGGGCAGCCCCATAGAGACGCGTGTGGGCCTGCCCCATAGGGACGCGTGTGGGGCAGCCCCATAGGGACGCGTGTGAGGCTGCCCCATAGGGACGCGTGTGAGGCTGCCCCATAGGGACGCGTGTGGGGCAGCCCCATAGGGACGCGTGTGAGGCTGCCCCATAGGGACTCATGTGAGGCTGCCCCATAGGGACGCGTGTGGGGCTGCCCCATAGGGACGCGTGTGGGGCAGCCCCATAGGGACGTGTGTGAGGCTGCCCCATAGGGACGCGTGTGGGGCTGGGGCTGCCCCATAGAGACGCTTGTGAGGCTGCCCCATAGGGACTCATGTGAGGCTGCCCCATAGGGACGCGTGCGGGGCTGACCCATAGGGACGCATGTGGGGCAGCCCCATAGGGACTCATGTGAGGCTGCCCCATAGGGACGCATGTGGGGCAGCCCCGTAGGGACTCATGTGAGGCTGCCCCATAGGGACGCGTGTGAGGCTGCCCCATAGGGACGCGTGTGGGGCAGCCCCATAGGGACTCATGTGAGGCTGCCCCATAGGGACGCGTGTGAGGCTGCCCCATAGGGACGCGTGTGAGGCTGCCCCATAGGGACGCGTGTGGGGCAGCCCCATAGGGACGTGTGTGAGGCTGCCCCATAGGGACGCGTGTGGGGCTGGGGCTGCCCCATAGAGACGCGTGTGAGGCTGCCCCATAGAGACGCGTGTGGGGCAGCCCCATAGGGACTCATGTGAAGCTGCCCCATAGGGACGTGTGCGGGGCTGACCCATAGGGACGCGTGTGGGGCAGCCCCATAGGGACGCGTGTGGGGCAGCCCCATAGAGACGCGTGTGGGGCAGCCCCATAGGGACGCGTGTGGGGCAGCCCCATAGGGACACGTGTGAGGCTGCCCCATAGGGACTCCTGTGAGGCTGCCCCATAGGGACGCGTGTGGGGCAGCCCCATAGGGACGCGTGTGAGGCTGCCCCATAGGGCCGCGTGTGGGGCTGCCCCATAGGGCCGCGTGTGGGGCAGCCCCATAGGGACGCGTGTGGGGCAGCCCCATAGAGACGCGTCTGAGGCTGCCCCATAGGGACGCGTGTGGGGCAGCCCCATAGGGACGCGTGTGGGGCAGCCCCATAGGGACGCGTGTGGGGCAGCCCCATAGGGACGCGTGTGAGGCTGCCCCATAGGGACTCCTGTGAGGCTGCCCCATAGGGACGCGTGTGGGGCAGCCCCATAGGGACGCGTGTGAGGCTGCCCCATAGGGCCGCGTGTGGGGCTGCCCCATAGGGCCGCGTGTGGGGCAGCCCCATAGGGACGCGTGTGGGGCAGCCCCATAGAGACGCGTCTGAGGCTGCCCCATAGGGACGCGTGTGGGGCAGCCCCATAGGGACGCGTGTGGGGCAGCCCCATAGGGCCGCGTGTGGGGCTGCCCCATAGGGACGCGTGTGAGGCTGCCCCATAGGGACGCATGTGGGGCAGCCCCATAGAGACGCGTGTGGGGCAGCCCCATAGGGACGCGTGTGGGGCTGCCCCATAGGGACGCGTGTGGGGCTGCCCCATAGGGACGCGTGTGAGGCTGCCCCATAGAGACGCGTGTGGGGCTGCCCCATAGGGACGCGTGTGAGGCTGCCTCATAGGGACGCGTGTGGGGCAGCCCCATAGGGCCGTGTGTGGGGCTGCCCCATAGGGACGCGTGTGGGGCAGCCCCATAGGGCCGCGTGTGGGGCTGCCCCATAGCGGCCCCGTGGGGTGACCCCTGTCCGTGGGGCGCCCCCAGGGGTGGCTCTCGCTCTCCCAGGCCCGCTACTCCCTGGGCTGCCACCGGGTCTCGGCCCTGCAGTACGGGGCCACCATGGAGCCGAGGGTGCGGGTCCTGCCCAGGTGGGGGGCAGGGGGGGGAGATGGGGGGACAATGGGGGGGGAGATGGGGGGGCAATGGGGTCTATGGGGGGCAGTGGGGGGGATATGGGGGGGGAGATGGGGGGCAGTGGGGGACAATGGGGGGGACGTGGGGGGCAAGGGGGGGGACATGGGGGGGGATATGGGGGGGAGATGGGGAGCAATGGGGACCATGATGGGCAATGGGGGGGGACATGGGGGGGATATGGGGGGCAATGGGGGGGGAGATGGGGGGGCAATGGGGACCATGGGGGGCAGTGGGGGGGGGACATGGGGGGCAATGGGGGGGAGATGGGGGGGCAATGGGGACCATGGGGGGCAGTGGGGGGGGGACATGGGGGGCAATGGGGTCTATGGGGGGCAAGGGGGGGGGAGATGGGGGTCAATGGGGTCTATGGGGGGCAGTGGGGGGGATATGGGGGGCAATGGGGGGGGGAGATGGGGGGGCAATGGGGACCATGGGGGGCAGTGGGGAGGGGGAGATGGGGGAGGACATGGGGGGCAGTGGGGACCGTGGGGGGCAGTGGGGGGGATATGGGGGGGAGATGGGGGGGCAATGGGGTCTATGGGGGGGCGATGGGGGTGCTATGGGGTCTATGGGGGAGATGGGGGGGCAATGGGGTCTATGGGGGGCAGTGGAGGGGATATGGGGGGCAATGGGGGGGGATATGGGGGGGCAATGGGGACCATAATGGGCAATGGGGGGGGGACATGAGGGGGATATGGGGGGGCAATGGGGTCTATGGGGGGCAGTGGGGGGGAGATGGGGGGGCAATGGGGGGGTAATGTGGTCTATGGGGGGCAGTGGAGGGGATATGGGGGGCAATGGGGGGGGATATGGGGGGGCAATGGGGACCATAATGGGCAATGGGGGGGGAACATGGGGGGAGATGGGGGGGGATATGGGGGGACATAGGGAGTACATTAGGAACAATGGGGGCAATGGGGGGGATATGGGGGGGCAATAGGGATAATGGGGGGCAATGGGGGGGAGGGACATGGGGGGACAATGGGGACCATGGGGGGCAGATGGGGGGGTTACAATGGGGGGGTTGGTGACATCCGTTCCTCCCCTCCCCCCAGGCAGGACCCGGGGGCCCCCCCCCGCTTTGAGGAGGTGCCGGGGAGTGGGGGGGACCCCGAGGACCCCCAGGAGGGGGAGGGCAAAGGTGAGGAGGGGGGGAGGGGAGGGGAGGGGGGGAGGGGCGCAGTCACGTGGGGGTCACCCCCATTTGTGCCCCTCCCCCCCCCAGGGTTGCGCCAGCGCCGGGGACCCCCAGAGAAAGGGGGGGCCCCCCCCCGCCCCCCCCCGGACCCTTTGACCTGGTTTGGGGTCCTGGTGCCCCTCCCCCTGCGGAGGGCGCAGGGCTCCTTCAGCCAAGGTGAGGGGGGGAGAATGGGGGGGTCCCTGCCCCACACTTGGGGGGCTCAACAGGGTCCCTGCCCCACACAATGGGGAGGGTAAATGGGGTCCCTGCCCCACACATCGGGGGCTCAATGGGGTCCCTGCCCCACACGATGGGGGGGGTCTCACTGGGGTCCCTGCCCCACACTTGGGGGTCTCACTGTGGTCCCTGCCCCACACTTGGGGGTCTCACTGTGGTCCCTGCCCCACACGTGGGGGTCTCACTGGGGTCCCTGCCCCACACTTGGGGGTCTCACTGTGGTCCCTGCCCCACACATGGGGGGTCTCACTGGGGTCCCTGCCCCACACATGGGGGGGTCTCACTGTGGTCCCTGCCCCACACGTGGGGGTCTCACTGGAGTCCCTGCCCCACACATGGGGGGTCTCACTGGGGTCCCTGCCCCACACATGGGGGGGTCTCACTGTGGTCCCTGCCCCACACTTGGGGGTCTCACTGTGGTCCCTGCCCCACACTTGGGGGTCTCACTGTGGTCCCTGCCCCACACATGGGGGGTCTCACTGTGGTCCCTGCCCCACACTTGGGGGTCTCACTGTGGTCCCTGCCCCACACTTGGGGGTCTCACTGTGGTCCCTGCCCCACACTTGGGGGTCTCACTGTGGTCCCTGCCCCACACTTGGGGGTCTCACTGTGGTCCCTGCCCCACACGTGGGGGTCTCACTGTGGTCCCTGCCCCACACGTGGGGGTCTCACTGGGGTCCCTGCCCCACACATGGGGGTGTCTCACTGTGCTCCCTGCCCCACACTTGGGGGTCTCACTGTGGTCCCTGCCCCACACTTGGGGGTCTCACTGTGGTCCCTGCCCCACACTTGGGGGTCTCACTGTGGTCCCTGCCCCACACATGGGGGTCTCACTGTGGTCCCTGCCCCACACGTGGGGGTCTCACTGTGGTCCCTGCCCCACACTTGGGGGTCTCACTGGGGTCCCTGCCCCACACATGGGGGGTCTCACTGTGGTCCCTGCCCCACACTTGGGGGTCTCACTGAGGTCCCTGCCCCACACTTGGGGGTCTCACTGTGGTCCCTGCCCCACACTTGGGGGTCTCACTGGGGTCCCTGCCCCACACGTGGGGGTCTCACTGTGGTCCCTGCCCCACACTTGGGGGTCTCACTGTGGTCCCTGCCCCACACGTGGGGGTCTCACTGTGGTCCCTGCCCCACACTTGGGGGTCTCACTGGGTCCCTGCCCCACACATGGGGGTCTCACTGTGGTCCCTGCCCCACACTTGGGGGTCTCAGCGGTGTCGCTGGCGCTGGACGTGGCCGCGCTGCAGAGCGCGGTGGCTGCGGCGGCCGCTCGGTACCGGGCCCTGCTTGGGGGGCAGCGGCGCCCCCGTGCGGACACCGAGGGCAGCGCCGGGAGCAGAGGTGGGGCCTGTGGGTGCCATTGGGGGCTATGGGTGCCATTGGGAGCTATGGGTGCAATTGGGGCCTATGGGTGCCGTTGGGGGCTATGGGTGCCACTGGGGTCTATGGGCGCCATTGGGGGCTATGGGCGCCACTGGGGGCTATGGGCGCCACTGGGGCCTATGGGCGCCGTTGGGGTCTATGGGCGCCACTGGGGCCTATGGGCGCCGTTGGGGTCTATGGGCGCCACTGGGAGCTATGGGTGCCATTGGGGTCTATGGGCGCCACTGGGGGCTATGGGCGCCACTGGGGGCTATGGGCGCCACTGGGGGCTATGGGTGCCACTGGGGGCTATGGGTGCCACTGGGGGCTATGGGTGCCGTTGGGGGCTATGGGTGCCGTTGGGGGCTATGGGTGCCGTTGGGGCCTGTGGGTGCCGTTGGGAGCTATGGGTGCCGTTGGGAGCTATGGGCGCCGTTGGGGCTATGGGCGCCACTGGGGGCTATGGGTGCCATTGAGGCCTATGGGTGCCACTGGGGCCTGTGGGTGCCGTTGGGGGCTATGGGTGCTGTTGGGGCCTATGGGAGACACTGAGCCCCATGGGTGCCGTTGTGACCCATGGGTGCCGCTGAGCCCCCCATGTCCCCACAGATGAGCTGGAGCTGCACGAAGACCCTGTGGGTAACGTGGAGCCTGTCTGCGGGTGACAGTGACGTCACCGCTCGGGATGGTGACGTCACCGCTCACGACAGTGACGTCACTCAAGACAGCGATGTTGCCATTCACAATGGCAAGTGACGTCATCACTTGTGACAGTGATGTCAGCACTCGTGTCAGTGACATCACTTGTGACAGCGACGTCACCACTCGTGTCAGTGACGTCACCACTCGTGACAGTGACATCACCGCTCGTGACAGTGACGTCATCACTTGTGACGTGTCACCATGTCCCTAATAAAGACAACGGCAGCCGCTGCTTTTGTGTCACCTTTGGAGCCATCTTGGCACTGCTGTGACATCACTGTGACGTCACTGTCCCCATCTCGGTAGCGCTATGACGTCAATATGACGTCACTGTGACATCACTTTGTCTCCATCTCAGTAGTGCTATGATGTCACTGTGACGTCACTTTGTCTCCATCTTGGCAGCTCTATGACGTCGATATGACGTCACTGTGGAGCCATACTGGTGCCACCATGATGTCACTGTGACGTCACTTTGTCTCCATCTCAGTAGCACGATTACGTCACTGTGATGTCACTTTGTCTCCATCTCAGTAGCTCTATGACATCACTGTGACGTCACTTTGTCCCCATCTTGGTGCCACTATGACGTCACTACAACCCTTTGGCGCCGCCGTGACATCACTATGACATCATTTTGGCGCCATCCCAGTGCCCCTACAACACACCCCAGCACCCCCCCCCCCATCCATCCAATCACAGCCGCCCCTTTGCCAATCTCTCTGTTTATTGGTCAGACCCCCCCCTTTTACCCCGCCCCCCCCCACCCCACCCCCCCCCGAGCCCGACACCAACCACGTGGGGGGGCAAGGGGGGGGGGGGGGAGGTGTGCGCGAGGAGGAAAGGGGGGGGGAGGGGCGTGTCCTGCGGCGGCTCCACCCACAGAGGGGGGTGAGGAGGGGGAGGAGCTTAGCGGATGGGCGTGTCCCACGGAGGCCCCGCCCCCCCTGGAGGAGGAAGGGGGCGTGGCCTAGCGGATGCTGTAGCGCACGTAGGGCACCTCGATGTCGGCGTCGCTGTCGTCGTTGCAGCAGAGCTCGAAGACCAAGGCCTTGACGTGGCGGCCCAGGCGCTTCTTGGAGACCCGCGCCACGATCTCCGTCATCCTGCGGGGAGATGGGGGGCGGGCTTGGGGGGCGGGACCCATAGAACAGCCCCGGGGGGGAGCCCCATAGGGAGGTGGCTATGGGGGGGGGAGGAACTTGGGGGGCTGGACCCATAGAACAGCCCGGGAGCCCCATAGGGAGGTGGCTATGGGGGCGAGAGGAACTTGGGGGGCAGGACCCATAGAAAAGGGGGAGCCCCATAGGGAGGTGGCTATGGGGGGGGGAGGAACTTGGGGGGCTGGACCCATAGAAAAGGGAGAAGCCCCATAGGGAAGTGGCTATCGGGGGGAGTGGCACTTGGGGGGCTGGACCCATAGAAAAGGGGGGAGCCCCACAGGGAGGTGGCTATGGGGGGGAGAGGAACTTGGGGGGCTGGAGCCATAGGAAAGGGGAGCCCCATAGGGAGGTGGCTATGGGGGGGGAGGGGAACTTGGGGGGCTGGAGGTATAGGAAAGGGGGAGCCCCATAGGGCGGTGGGTATGGGGGCGAGAGGCACTTGGGGGGCTGGAGCCATAGAAAACGGGGGGAGCCCCATAGGGAGGTGGCTATGGGGGCGAGAGGAACTTGGGGGGCTGGAGCCATAGAAAAGGGGGAGCCCCATAGGGAAGTGGCTATGGGGGGGAGAGGCACTTGGGGGGCTGGAGCTATAGAGGAGGGTGCCCTATAGAGGGTGGAGCCCCATAGGGAGGTGGCTATGGGGGGCAAGAGGCACTTGGGGGGCTGGACCCATAGAAAAGGGAGAAGCCCCATAGGGAGGTGGGTATGGGGGGGAGAGGAACTTGGGGGGCTGGAGGCATAGAGGGGGGTGCCCTATAGAGGGTGGAGCCCCATAGGGACATGGCTATGGGGGGTGAGAGGCACTTGGGGGGCTGGACCCATAGAAAAGGGGGAGCCCCATAGGGAGGTGGCTATGGGGGGAAATGGCACTTGGGGGGCTGGAGCCATAGAACAGCCCGCGGAGCCCCATAGGGAGGTGGCTATGGGGGGGAGAGGAACTTGGGGGGCTGGAGCCATAGAACAGCCCGGGGAGCCCCATAGGGAGGTGGCTATGGGGGGGGGAGGAACTTGGGGGGCTGGACCCATAGAAAAGGGGGAGCCCCATAGGGAGGTGGGTATGGGGGGCGAGAGGCACTTGGGGGGCTGGAGCTATAGAGGGTGGAGCCCCATAGGGACATGGCTATGGGGGGGGGGAGAGGAACTTGGGGGGCTGGAGGTATAGAGGGGGGTGCCCTATAGAGGGTGAGCCCCATAGGGAGGTGGCTATGGGGGGGGGAGGAACGTGGGGGGCTGGAGCTATGGAGGGGGGTGCCCTATAGAGGGTGGAGCCCCATAGGGAGGTGGCTATGGGGGGGGGCGGACGCCATAGAACAGCCCGGGAGCCCCATAGGGAGGTGGGTATGGGGGGAGAGGAACTTGGGGGGCTGGACCCATAGAAAAGGGAGAAGCCCCATAGGGAGGTGGGTATGGGGGGGAGAGGTACTTGGGGGGCTGGACCCATAGAAAAGGGGGGAGCTCCATAGGGAGGTGGGTATGGGGGGGGGAGGAACTTGGGGGGCTGGAGCTATAGGAAAGGGGGAGCCCCATAGGGAGGTGGTTATGGGGGTGAGAGGAACTTGGGGGGCTGGACCCATAGAAAAGGGGGAGCCCCATAGGGAGGTGGGTATGGGGGGGGAGGAACTTGGGGGGCTGGACCCATAGAAAAGGGAGAAGCCCCATAGGGAAGTGGCTATCGGGGGGAGTGGCACTTGGGGGGCTGGACCCATAGAAAATGCGGGGAGCCCCATAGGGAGGTGGCTATGGGGGGGGCGGACTTGGGGGGCGGGAGCCATAGAACAGCCCGGGGAGAACCATAGGGAGGTGGGTATGGGGGGGAGGGGAACTTGGGGGGCTGGACACATAAAAAGGGAGAAGCCCCATAGGGAGGTGGCTATGGGGGGGGAGGAACTTGGGGGGCTGGACCCATAGAAAATGGGGAGCCCCATAGGGAGGTGGCTATGGGGGGGGAGAGGTACTTGGGGGGCTGGACCCATAGAAAAGGGGGAGCCCCATAGGGAGGTGGGTATGGGGGAGGGAGGGGAACTTGGGGGGCTGGAGCTATAGAGGGGGGTGCCCTATAGAGAGTGGAGCCCCATAGGGAGGTGGGCATGGGGGGGAGTGGAACTTGGGGGGCTGGACCCATAGAAAGGGAGAAGCCCCATAGGGAGGTGGCTATGGGGGGAGAGGCACTTGGGGGGCTGGACCCATAGAAAAGGGGGGAGCCCCACAGGGAGGTGGCTATGGGGGGGAGAGGAACCTGGGAGGCTGGACCCATAGAAAAGGGGGAGCCCCATAGGGAGGTGGCTATGGGGGGGGAGAGGAACTTGGGGGGCTGGAGGTATAGAGGGGGGTGCCCTATAGAGGGTGAGCCCCATAGGGAGGTGGGTATGGGGGGGGGCGGACGCCATAGAACAGCCCGGGAGCCCCATAGGGAGGTGGGTATGGGGGGGAGAGGTACTTGGGGGGCTGGAGCTATAGAGGGGGGTGCCCTATAGGGACATGGCTATGGGGGGCGAGAGACACTTTGGGGGCTGGACCCATAGAAAAGGGAGAAGCCCCATAGGGAGCGTCCCCCCCCCCCCCCCCCCACAAGTGCCCCCCCATGATATCTCCCCCCATTCATGAGTGCTGCCCCCCCCACCCATGGGTGCCTCCCCCACCCCACCATGGGATATCCCCCTCCCCCACGAGTGCCCCCCCATTAATGGGTGCTGTTTTCCCCCCCATAGGGTGCCCCCCACCCATGGGTACCCTTCCCCCACCCATGGGTGCCCCTCCCCCCCATGGGTGCCTCCCCCCCCCACAATGGGATATCCCCCTCCCCCACAAGTGCCCCCCATGATATCTCCCCCCATTAATGGGTGCTGCACCCCCACCCATGGGTGCCCCTCCCCCCCCATGGGGTGCCCCCCACCCATGGGTGCCCCCCCCATGGGTGCCCCTCCCCACCCATGGGTGCCTCCCCCACCCCACCATGGGATATCCCCCCCCCCCCCATGAGTGCCCCCCCATTAATGGGTGCTGTTTCCCCACCCATAGGGTGCCCCCCACCCATGGGTGCCCCTCCCCCACCCATGGGTGCCCCTCCCCCCCCATGGGTGCCTCCCCCACCCCACAATGGGATATCCCCCTCCCCACAAGTGCCCCCCCCATGATATCTCCCCCCATACATGGGTGCCCCCCCCCCATGGGTGCCTCCCCCCCCACAATGGGATATCCCCCTCCCCCACAAGTGCCCCCCCCATGATATCTCCCCCCATTAATGGGTGCTGCCCCTCCCCCCCCATGGGTGCCCCTCCCCCCCAATGGTTGCCTCCCCCCCCACCCATGGGTGCCCCCCATGGCCTACGGTTGGTCGTGGCGCTCGCGCAGCTTGGCGGGGGGCATGAAGAAGGAGTAGAGCATGGAGACCCCCTGCGACAGCATCGTGATCTCCAGGCGATGCTCGCGCTGTGGGGCAGAGAGAGCCATGGGCGCCCCATAGCGCCCCACAGCACCCCATAGCGCCCCACAGCGCCCCACAGCGCCCCATAGCGCCCCACAGCGCCCCATAGCGCCCCACAGCGCCCCATAGTGCCCCATAGCGCCCCACAGCGCCCCACAGCGCCCCACAGCGCCCCACAGCGCCCCATAGCGCCCCATAGCGCCCCACAGCGCCCCATAGCGCCCCACAGCGCCCCATGGAGGGGGGGGCAGTACCTTGAAGTAGGCGAGGAACTGGCGCAGGGTCATCTCCTGCCCGTCCGGCTGCAGCCCCTGCACCTCGAAGCGGTCCCACAGCGTCCACTCCACCTCGTAGTACTGGGGGGGCAGACCCATAGCGAGGGGGCAGAGCCATAGAGAGGGGGGCAGAAACATAGAGAGGGGGTCATAGCCATGGAGAGGGGTCAGACCCATAGCGAGGAGGCAGAGCCATGGAGAGGGGGTCAGAGCCATGGAGAGGGGTCAGACCCATAGAGAGGGGTCAGACCCATAGAGAGGGGGCAGACCCATAGCGAGGGGGCAGAGCCATAGAGAGGGGTCAGACCCATAGAGAGGGGTCAGACCCATAGCAAGGGGGCAGACCCATAGCAGGGGGGCAGAGCCATAGGGAGGGGGCAGACCCATAGAGAGGGGGGTCAGACCCATAGAGAGGGGGCAGACCCATAGCGAGGGGGTCAGACCCATAGCGAGGGGGCAGAGCCATAGCGAGGGGGTCAGAAACATAGGGAGGGGTCAGACCCATAGCGAGGGGTCAGACCCATAGAGAGGGGTCAGACCCATAGGGAGGGGTCAGACACATAGGGAAGAGATCAGACCCATAGCAAAGGGTCAGAGCCATGGTGAGGGGTCAGACCCATAGCGAGGGGGCAGAGCCATAGAGAAGGGTCAGACCCATAGCGAGGGGGCAGACCCATAGCAAGGGGGCAGAGCCATAGCAAGGGGGCAGAGCCATAGCGAGGGGCCAGAAACATAGGGAGGGGTCAGACCCATAGGGAGGGGTCAGACACATAGGGAAGAGATCAGACCCATAGCAAAGGGTCAGAGCCATGGTGAGGGGTCAGACCCATAGCGGGGGGGCAGACCCATAGAGAGGGGTCAGACCCATAGCGGGGAGTCAGAAACATAGGGAGGGGGCAGAGCCATAGCGAGGGGTCAGACACAAATCAAGGGGCCAGACCCATAGAGAGGGTTCAGAACCATGGAGAGGGGTCAGACCCATAGAGAGGGGGGCAGACCCATAGAGAGGGGGGCAGACCCATAGCCCTATAGGTCCATATCTATAGATTCATGCCCTATAGCTCCATGCCCATGGCTCCGTGCTCTGTAGCTCCCTATCTATAGCTCCATGCCCTATAGCTCTGTATCTATGGGTCTGTGCCCTATAGCTCCGTATCTATGGGTCTGTGCCCTATAGCTCCGTATCTATGGGTCCATGCCCTATAGCTCCCTGTGTCCATGCCCTATAGCGCTGTACCCACAGCTCCATGCCCTATAGCTCCATATCTACGGGTCTGTGCCCTATAGCTCCGTATCTATGGGTCCATGCCCTATAGCTCCCTATCATGCATCCCCCACAGCTCCACACCCCATAGCTCCCTATGTGTCCATACCCCACACCTCCATGCCCCATAGCTCCCTATGTGTCCATACCCCATAGCTTCATACCCCCCAGCTCCGCACCCCCCAGCTCCACACCCCACAACTCCATCCCCCACAGCTCCGCACCACCCAGCTCCACACCCCATAGCTCCATCCCCCACATCTCCACACCCCACAGCTCCCTATGTGTCCACACCCCACAGCTCCCTGTGTCCATACCCCACACCTCCATACCCCACAGCTCCCTATGTGTCCATACCCCACACCTCCATACCCCATAGCCCCACACCCCATAGCTCCATACCCCACACCTCTGCACCCTGCCACCTCCATACCCCACAGCTCCACACCCTACAGCTCCGTATCTGTGTCCATACCCCACACCTCCATCCCCCACACCTCCACACCCCACAGCTCCCTATGCGTCCATACCCCACACCTCCATCCCCCACAGCCCCACACCCCATAGCTCCCTACATGTCCATACCCCCCAGCTCCATACCCCACATCTCCACACCCCATAGCTCCATACTCCATAGCTCCCTATGTGTCCATACCCCACACCTCCATACCCCACAGCTCCACACCCCACACCTCCGCACCCCATAGCTCCCTATGTGTCCATACCCCACAGCTCCACACCCCATAGCTCCATACCCCATAGCTCCCTACGTGTCCATACCCCCCAGCTCCACACCCCCCAGCTCCGTACCCCACAGCTCCATACCCCACACCTCTATACCCCACAGCTCCATCCCCCACATCTCCATGTCCCATAGCTCCCTATGTGTCCATACCCCATAGCTCCATACCCCATAGCTCCATCCCCCACACCTCTGCACCCCCCCACCTCCATACCCCACATCTCCACACCCCACAGCTCCCTATGCGTCCATACCCCACACCTCCATACCCCACATCTCCACACCCCACAGCTCCCTATGTGTCCATACCCCACACCTCCATACCCCATAGCTCCATACCCCACAGCCCCACAACCTATAGCTCCCTATGTGTCCATACCCCATAGCCCCACACCCCATAGCTCCATACCCCACACCTCTGCACCCTGCCACCTCCATACCCCACAGCTCCACACCCTACAGCTCCGTATCTGTGTCCATACCCCACACCTCCATCCCCCACACCTCCACACCCCACAGCTCCCTATGCGTCCATACCCCACACCTCCATCCCCCACAGCCCCACACCCCACAGCTCCCTATGTGTCCATACCCCACACCTCCATCCCCCACAGCCCCACACCCCATAGCTCCCTATGTGTCCATACCCCACACCTCCATCCCCCACAGCCCCACACCCCATAGCTCCCTACATGTCCATACCCCACAGCTCCATACCCCACACCTCCACACCCCATAGCTCCCTATGTGTCCATCCCCCCCACCTCCTCCCCCCACCTCCTCCCCACCTCCATGGGGCAGGCGCGGCTCTCACCTTGTTGCGGGGGCAGGCGATGGGCTCGGAGAAGGCGAGGAAGGGCAGGGCGAGGTTGAGGAAGGCGTTCTTGTAGGAGCCCAGGCGGCGCTGGCCCTGCACCAGCTTGAGCAGCTCCAGGCAGCCCAGCCCCACAACCGCCGCCGTGGTCGTGGCGATGGCCGGGATGATCTTACCCGCGATCAGCTTGCTCTGCCCCACGGAGACGGGGAGCTCAGGGGGGGGTCCCCATGGAGCCCTATGGGGAGCTCAGGGGGGGGTCCCTATGAAGCCCTATGGGGAGCTCAGGGGGGGGTCCCCATGGAGCCCTATGGGGAGGCTGGGGGGTCCCTATGGGGCTGCTGGGGGGTCCCTATGGAGCCCTATGGGGAGCTCAGGGGGGTAGGATCCCCATGGAGCCCTATGGGGAGGCTGCGGGGTCCCCATGGAGCCCTATGGGGAGGCTGGGGGGATGCTGTGGGGATGTGGGGATGCTGTGGCGTCCCCATGGAGCCCTATGGGAGGCTGGGGGGTCCCTATGGAGCCCTATGGGGCTGCTGGGGGGATGCTGGGGGCTCCCCATGGAGCCCTATGGGGAGGCTGGGGGGATGCTGGGGGGATGTGGGGATGCTGGGGTGTCCCCATGGAGCCCTATGGGGAGGCTGGGGGGATGCTGTGGGGATGCTGGGGGGATGCTGTGGGGGTGCTGGGGGCTCCCCATGGATCCCTATGGGGCTGCTGGGGGGATGCTGGGGGCTCCCCATGGAGCCCTATGGGGATGCTGGGGGGTCCCTATGGAGCCCTATGGGGAGGCTGGGGGGATGCTATGGGGGTGCTATGGGGAGGCTGGGGGCTCCCCATGGATCCCTATGGGGATGCTGGGGGGTCCCTATGGAGCCCTATGGGGATGCCGGGGGGGTCCCTATGGAGCCCTATGGGGAGGCTGGGGGGTCCCCATGGAGCCCTATGGGGAGGCTGGGGGGATGCTGGGGGGATGTGGGGATGCTGGGGGATCCCCATGGAGCCCTATGGGGCTGCTATGGGGCTGCTGGGGGGCTGCTGGGGGCACCCCATGGAGCCCTATGGGGAGGCTGGGGGGTCCCTATGGATCCCTATGGGGCTGCTAGGGACACCTATGGGGCTGCTATGGGGATGCTATGGGGCTGCTGGGGGGATGCTATGGGCTCCCCATGGATCCCTATGGGGAGGCTGGGGGGTCCCCATGGAGCCCTATGGGGAGGCTGGGGGGTCCCCATGGAGCCCTATGGGGCTGCTATGGGGCTGCTGGGGGCACCCCATGGAGCCCTATGGGGAGGCTGGGGGGTCCCTATGGATCCCTATGGGGCTGCTAGGGACACCTATGGGGCTGCTATGGGGCTGCTATGGGGCTGCTGGGGGGATGCTATGGGCTCCCCATAGATCCCTATGGGGCTGCTATGGGGCTGCTGGGGGGATGCTATGGGCTCCCCATGGATCCCTATGGGGCTGCTGGGGGGATGCTGGGGGCTCCCCATGGAGCCCTATGGGGAGGCTGGGGGGTCCCTATGGGGCTGCTGGGGGGTCCCTATGGAGCCCTATGGGGCGGCTGGGGGGAGGCTGTGGGGATGTGGGGATGCTGGGGCGTCCCTATGGAGCCCTATGGGGAGGCTGGGGGCACCCCATGGAGCCCTATGGGGAGGCTCGGGGGTCCCTATGGAGCCCTATGGGGAGGCTGGGGGGTCCCTATGGAGCCCTATGGGGAGGCTGGGGGGTCCCCATGGAGCCCTATGGGGATGCTATGGGGATGCTATGGGCTCCCCATGGATCCCTATGGGGCTGCTATGGGGCTGCTGGGGGGCTGCTGGGGGCACCCCATGGAGCCCTATGGGGAGGCTGGGGGGTCCCTATGGATCCCTATGGGGATGCTATGGGGCTGCTGGGGGGATGCTATGGGCTCCCCATGGATCCCTATGGGGAGGCTGGGGGGTCCCTATGGATCCCTATGGGGCTGCTAGGGACACCTATGGGGCTGCTATGGGGATGCTATGGGGCTCCTATCGGGCAGCGATTGAGCAGAGTTGGGCAAGCAATGCAGCTGCTATGGGGAAGCAATGCGGCTGCTGGGGGGATGCTATGGGCTCCCCATAGATCCCTATGGGGCTGCTATGGGGCTGCTGGGGGGATGCTATGGGCTTCCCCATGGATCCCTATGGGGCTGCTGGGGGGATGCTGGGGGGTCCCCATGGAGCCCTATGGGGAGGCTGGGGGTATGCTGTGGGGATGTGGGGATGCTGGGGGGTCCCTATGGAGCCCTATGGGGAGGCTGGGGGGTCCCCATGGAGCCCTATGGGGAGGCTGGGGGGTCCCTATGGAGCCCTATGGGGAGGCTGGGGGGTCCCCATGGAGCCCTATGGGGAGGCTGGGGGGTCCCTATGGAGCCCTATGGGGATGCTGGGGGGTCCCTATGGAGCCCTATGGGGAGGCTGGGGGGTCCCCATGGAGCCCTATGGGGAGGCTGGGGGGATGCTGTGGGGATGTGGGGATGCTGGGGGGTCCCCATGGAGCCCTATGGGGAGGCTGGGGGGATGCTGAGGAGAGGCTGTGGGTTCCCTATGGATCCCTATGGGAATGCTGGGGGCTCCCCATGGAGCCCTATGGGGAGGCTGGGGGGAGGCTGGGGGGTCCCTATAGATCCCTATGGGGCTGCTGGGGGGATGCTATGGGCTCCCCATGGAGCCCTATGGGGCTGCTATGGGGATGCTATGGGGCACCTCATGGTTCCCTATAGGCTGGGGGCTCCTCATGGATCCCTATAGGGATGCTGTGGGGATGCTATGGGGCTGCTGGGGGGATGCTATGGGCTCCCCATGGAGCCCTATGGGGAGGCTGGGGGGATGCTATGGGCTCCACATGGATCCCTATGGAGCTGCTATGGGGATGCTATGGGGCTGCTGGGGGCTCCCCATGGATCCCTATGGGGAGGCTGGGGGGATGCTGGGGGCTCCCCATGAATCCCTATGGGGCTGCTATGGGGCTGCTATGGGGATGCTAGGGGGCTGCTGGGGGGATGCTGGGGGCTCCCCATGGATCCCTATGGGGATGCTGGAGGGATGCTATGGGCTCCCCATGGAGCCCTATGGGGCTGCTAGGGACGCCTGTGGGGCCTCTATGGACACCTCTCGTCTCTAGCACCCATAGGAGCACCCATACCACCCATAGGAGCACCCCCAGCACCCATAGGAGCACCCCTAGCACCCATAGGAACACCCATACCACCCATAGGAGCACCCACAGCACCCATAGAAGCACCCCTAGCACCCATAGGAGCACCCACAGCACCCATAGCAGCACCCATAGCAGCACCCATAGGAACACCCACAGCAGCACCCATAGAACCCATAGGAGCACCCCTAGCACACATAGGAGCACCCCTAGCACCCATAGGAGCACCCCTAGCACACATAGGAGCACCCCTAGCACCCATAGGAGCACCCACAGCACCCATAGGAGCACCCCTAGCACCCACAGCACCCATAGGAGCACCCATAACACCCACAGGAGCACCCACAGCACCCATAGGAACACCCACAGCACCCATAGGAGCACCCACAGCACCCATAGGAGCACCCACAGCACCCATAGGAGCACCCATAGGAGCACCCATAGGAGCACCCACAGCACCCATAGGAGCACCCCTAGCACCCACAGCACCCATAGGAGCACCCATAGGAGCACCCACAGCACCCATAGGAGCACCCATAGGAGCACCCCTAGCACCCATAGGAGCACCCATAGGAGCACCCATAGCAGCACCCATAGGAGCACCCACAGGAACACCCACAGCACCCATAGGAGCACCCATAGCACCCACAGCACCCATAGGAGCACCCATAGGAGCACCCACCTTGTGGCGGTCGGCCGGGGGGATGTCGTAGTTCTCCGCCCGCAGGTTGGAAGCAGCCACGATGAAATCCATGTGGAAGTTGGTGTCATCGTCCTGGGGGGATGGGGGGGGGAGCAGCACCCATGGGTGCTCTGGGGGGGGGCACCCATGGGTGCTGGGGTGGGGTGGGGGAGGGGCAGCACCCACCTTCTCGAAGTCAATGGGGTACATGCGGAACCCGCGCAGCTCCTCGGGGCTGGGCAGCGACGCCTTCAGCTCCTCCAGGCGCCCGTCATCTATGGGTGGGGGGCACCCATGGGACCCCAGAGCACCCATGGGACCCCCATTGCACCCATGGGACCCCCATTGCACCCATGGGACACCCATTGCACCCATGGGACACCCAGAGCACCCATGGGACACCCATTGCACCCATGGGACCCCCATTGCACCCATGGGACACCCAGAGCACCCATGGGACACCCATTGCACCCATGGGACCCCCAGAGCACCCATGGGACCCCCATTGCACCCATGGGACCCTCAGAGCACCCATGGGAGCCTCAGAGCACCCATGGGACCCCCATTGCAACCACGGGACACCCATTGCACCCATGGGACCCCCAGAGCACCCATGGGACCCCATTGCACCCATGGGACACCAGAGCACCCATGGGACACCAGAGCACCCATGGGTACCCCATTGCACCCATGGGACCCTATTGCACCCATGGGACCCTCATTGCACCCATGGTACCCTCAGAGCACCCATGGGACACCCAGAGCACCCATGGGACCCCCATTGCACCCATGGGTGCCCTAACCTTGAATCCAACTATCACCACCCACAGGTAACCCTACCCCTAAGCCTAAGCCCCCCCAGCACCCATAACCCCCCCCCAGCACCCACAGGTACCCCATAACCCCCCCATTCCCCATACCCTCCCTCATCCCCCATCTTCCCATCCCCCATCCCCCCCCATTCCCCCATCCCCCCTAAGCCCACCCCCCCTCCCCCTGTCCATCTCCCCCCATCCCCCTCCCCCATCCCCATCCCCCATAACCCCCCCATCCCCCCCCATAACCCCTCCCCATCCCCCATCAACTCTCCCCCATCCCCCCTATTTCCCATCCCCATTTCCCATCCCCCATGCCCCCCATTTCCCATCCCCCCATTCCCCCTATTTGCCCATCCCCCCCATCCCCCCCATTTCCCATCCCCCTCAATCCCCCATCCCCCAATAACCCCCCCATCTCCCATCCCCCCTATTTCCCATCCCCCCCCATTCCCCCCCATCCCCCATCCCCCCCATCTCCCATCCCCCCCCCATCCCCCCCCATCCCCCATCCCCACCCCTCATCCCCCATAACCCCTCTCTCCCCCCATCCCCTCCCCCCATCCCCATCCCCCACTCCCCATCCCCCCCATTTCCCCTCATACATGTGGATCCGGACCCCCCATCCCCCATCACCCCCATCCCCCATGACCCCCCTCCCCCCATTTCCCCTCCCCCCATTTCCCCTCCCCCCATACCCAAGCTGGCACTGGCGCTCTCCCCCCATTTCCCTCCCCTCCCCCCATTTCCCTCCCCTCCCCCCATTTCCCCCCCCCCCCCATTTCCCCTCCCCCATACCCATGCTGGCCGCGGCGCTCTGCAGCTCCTGGTCGGACACGTGGATCCGGACCCCGGCTTTGGGGGCGAAGGGGGGGACCCGCACGTGGCGCAGGAGCGCGGCCACGGCCCCACGGTCCCGGCTGCCCCCCAGCCCATAGCTCTGAGCAAAGAGGTTGGCGGCCGCCACCACGTAGTCAAGGTGCAGGGGCTGGGGAGAGAGAGAGCACCCATGGGTGTCAATGGGGGGAGAGAGCACCCATGGGTGTCAATGGGAGCACCCATGGGTGTCAATGGGGGGAGAGAGCACCCATGGGTGTCAATGGGAGCACCCATGGGTGTCACTGGGGGAGCACCCATGGGTGTCACTGGGGGGAGAGAGCACCCATGGGTGTCAATGGGGGAGCACCCAGGGGTGGCACAGGGAGCACCCATGGGCGGCACAGGGAGCACCCAGGGGTGGCACAGGGGGAGCGCCCAGGGGTGTCAATGGGGAGCACCCAGGGGTGTCACAGGGAGCACCCATGGGTGTCAATGGGGGAAGGGGGGGCACAGCCCCACGGTCCCGGCTGCCCCCCAGCCCATAGCTCTGAGCAAAGAGGTTGGCGGCCGCCACCACGTAGTCAAGGTGCAGGGGCTGGGGAGAGAGAGAGCACCCATGGGTGTCAATGGGAGCACCCATGGGTGTCAATGGGAGCACCCATGGGTGGCACAGGGAGCTCCCATGGGTGTCAATGTGGGGAGAGAGCACCCATGGGTGTCAATGGGGGGAGAGAGCACCCATGGGTGTCAATGGGGGAGCACCCAGGGGCGTCACAGGGAGCACCCAGGGGTGTCACAGGGACAGCACCCAGGGGTGGCACAGGGAGCACCCAGGGGTGGCACAGGGAAGCACCCATGGGTGGCACAGGGAGCACCCATGGGTGTCACAGGGAGCACCCAGGGGTGGCACAGGGACAGCACCCAGGGGTGTCACAGGGACAGCACCCAAGGGTGTCACAGGGGAGCACCCAGGGGTGGCACAGGGGAGCACCCAGGGGTGGCACAGGGACAGCACCCAAGGGTGTCACAGGGGAGCACCCAGGGGTGTTAATGGGGGAAGGGGGGGCACAGCCCCACGGTCCCGGCTGCCCCCCAGCCCATAGCTCTGAGCAAAGAGGTTGGCGGCCGCCACCACGTAGTCAAGGTGCAGGGGCTGGGGAGAGAGAGAGCACCCATGGGTGTCAATGGGAGCACCCATGGGTGTCAATGGGGGGAGAGAGCACCCATGGGTGTCAATGGGAGCACCCATGGGTGTCAATGGGAGCACCCAGGGGTGTCACAGGGGGAGCACCCAGGGGTGTCACAGGGAGCACCCATGGGTGTCAATGGGGGAGCACCCATGGGTGTCACAGGGAGCACCCATGGGTGTCAATGGGGGAAGGGGGGGCACAGCCCCACGGTCCCGGCTGCCCCCCAGCCCATAGCTCTGAGCAAAGAGGTTGGCGGCCGCCACCACGTAGTCAAGGTGCAGGGGCTGGGGAGAGAGAGAGCACCCATGGGTGTCAATGGGAGCACCCATGGGTGTCAATGGGGAGAGAGCACCCATGGGTGTCAATGGGGGGAGAGAGCACCCATGGGTGTCAATGGGGGGAGAGAGCACCCATGGGTGTCAATGGGAGCACCCATGGGTGTCAATGGGAGCACCCATGGGTGTCAATGGGGGAGCACCCATGGGTGTCAATGGGAGCACCCATGGGTGTCAATGGGGGGAGAGAGCACCCATGGGTGTCAATGGGAGCACCCATGGGTGTCAATGGGGGGAGAGAGCACCCATGGGTGTCAATGGGAGCACCCATGGGTGTCAATGGGGGAGCACCCATGGGTGTCAATGGGGGCAGAGAGCACCCATGGGTGTCAATGGGGGAGCACCCAGGGGTGGCACAGGGAGCACCCATGGGCGGCACAGGGAGCACCCAGGGGTGGCACAGGGGGAGCGCCCAGGGGTGTCAATGGGGAGCACCCAGGGGTGTCACAGGGAGCACCCATGGGTGTCACAGGGACAGCACCCATGGGTGGCACAGGGGGAGCACCCATGGGTGGCACAGGGACAGCACCCAGGGGTGTCACAGGGAGCACCCAGGGGTGTCACAGGGAGCACCCAGGGGTGGCACAGGGACAACACCCATGGGTGTCAATGGGGGAGCACCCATGGGTGTCACAGGGGAGCACCCATGGGTGTCAATGGGGGAAGGGGGGGCACAGCCCCACGGTCCCGGCTGCCCCCCAGCCCATAGCTCTGAGCAAAGAGGTTGGCGGCCGCCACCACGTAGTCAAGGTGCAGGGGCTGGGGGGAGAGAGAGCACCCATGGGTGTCAATGGGGGGAGAGAGCACCCATGGGTGTCAATGGGAGCACCCATGGGTGTCAATGGGAGCACCCATGGGTGGCACAGGGAGCTCCCATGGGTGTCACAGGGAGCACCCATGGGTGTCACAGGGAGCACCCAGGGGTGGCACAGGGAGCACCCAGGGGTGTCACAGGGGGAGCACCCATGGGTGGCACAGGGAGCACACATGGGTGTCAATGGGGGAGCACCCAGGGGTGGCACAGGGAGCACCCAGGGGTGGCACAGGGACAGCACCCATGGGTGGCACAGGGACAGCACCCATGGGTGGCACAGGGAGCACCCAGGGGTGGCACAGGGGGGAGGGGAGCACCCAGGGGTGGCACAGGGAGCACCCATGGGTGTCACAGGGAGCACCCATGGGTGTCACAGGGAGCACACAGGGGTGGCACAGGGACAGCACCCATGGGTGGCACAGGGAGCACCCATGGGTGGCACAGGGAGCACCCAGGGGTGGCACAGGGGGAGCACCCAGGGGTGTCACAGGGGGGAGGGGGAGCACCCAGGGGTGTCACAGGGAGCACCCATGGGTGTCACAGGTAGCACCCAGGGGTGTCACAGGGAGCACCCAGGGGTGGCACAGGGAGCACCCATGGGTGTTAATGGGGGAAGGGGGGGCACAGCCCCACGGTCCCGGCTGCCCCCCAGCCCATAGCTCTGAGCAAAGAGGTTGGCGGCCGCCACCACGTAGTCAAGGTGCAGGGGCTGGGGAGAGAGAGAGCACCCATGGGTGTCAATGGGAGCACCCATGGGTGTCAATGGGAGCACCCATGGGTGTCAATGGGAGCACCCAGGGGTGTCAATGGGGGGAGAGAGCACCCATGGGTGTCAATGGGGGGAGAGAGCACCCATGGGTGTCAATGGGAGCACCCATGGGTGTTAATGGGGGAGCACCCAGGGGTGGCACAGGGAGCACCCATGGGTGGCACAGGGAGCACCCAGGGGTGGCACAGGGAGCACCCATGGGTGTCAATGGGGGAGCAGCCATGGGTGGCACAGGGAGCACACATGGGTGTCAATGGGGGAGCACCCAGGGGTGGCACAGGGAGCACCCAGGGGTGGCACAGGGACAGCACCCAGGGGTGGCACAGGGACAGCACCCATGGGTGGCACAGGGACAGCACCCATGGGTGGCACAGGGAGCACCCAGGGGTGGCACAGGGGGGAGGGGAGCACCCAGGGGTGGCACAGGGAGCACCCATGGGTGGCACAGGGGAGCACCCATGGGTGGCACAGGGGAGCACCCAGGGGTGGCACAGGGGGAGCACCCAGGGGTGGCAGTGGGGGGCAGGAATGGGTGTTAATGGGGGGTGCACCCATGGGTGGCAGTGGGGAGCAGCAATGGGTGTTAAAGGGGGGCACCCATGGGTGTTAATGGGGGCACCCATGGGTGGCAGTGGGCGGAGGGGGAGCACCCATGGGCGGCAGTGGGGGGCAGCAATGGGTGTTAAAGGGGGGCACCCATGGGTGTTAATGGGGGCACCCATGGGTGGCAGTGGGCGGAGGGGGAGCACCCATGGGTGGCAGTGGGGGGCAGCAATGGGTGTTAAATGGGGGGCACCCATGGGTGGCAGAGTGGGGAGGGGGAACACCCATGGGTGGTGGTGGGGGGCAGCAATGGGTGTTAAATGGGGGGCACCCATGGGTGGCAGAGTGGGGAGGGGGAGCACCCATGGGTGGTGGTGGGGGGCCACCCATGGGTGGCAGTGGGGGGAGGGGTGTACCCATGGGTGTCAAAGGGGGGAGGGGGGCACCCATGGGTGGCAGTGAGGGGATGGGTAGCACCCAGGGGTGGCAGAGGGGCAGCAATGGGTGTTAACGGGGGGCACCCATGGGTGTCAGTGGGGGGCACCCATGGGGGCATCAATGGTGACTGAGGGCACCCAAGGGTGCTGCTGCACTCACGTTGTCGGGGTCGAAGACCAATGGGTGGGGGCAGCGCTTGGGTCCCGACCAGAAGAGGGTCCCCGAGTTCGTTTTCTGTGGGGGGAGACACAGTGAGGACCCCCAATGCCCGCTATGGGTCCCAATGCCCCGCTATGGGTCCCAATGCACCCCTATGGGTCCCAATGCCCCCCTATGGGTCCCAATGCCCCCCTATGGGTCCCAATGCACCCCTATGGGTCCCAATGCCCCCCTATGGGTCCCAATGCCCCGCTATGGGTCCCAATGCACCCCTATGGGTCCCAATGCCCCCCTATGGGTCCCAATGCCCCGCTATGGGTCCCAATGCACCCCTATGGGTCCCAATGCCCCGCTATGGGTTCTATAGCATCCCAATCCCCCCAATGCACCGCTATGGGTCCTATAGCATCCCAATCCCCTCAATGCACCCCTATGGGTCCCAATGCACCCCTATGGGTCCCAATGCATCCCTATGGGTCCCAATGCACCCCTATGGGTCCCAATGCACCCCTATGGGTCCTATAGCATCCCAATCCCCCCAATGCACCGCTATGGGTCCTATAGCATCCCAATCCCCCCAATGACCCCCAATGCATCCCTATGGGTCCTAGAGCATCCCAATCCCTCCAATGACCCCCCAATGCACCGCTATGGGTCCTAGAGCATCCCAATCCCCTCAATGCACCGCTATGGGTCCTAGAGCATCCCAATCCCTCCAATGACCCCCAATGCATCCGTATGGGTCCTAGAGCATCCCAATCCCCCCAGTGACCCCCAATGCCCCGCTATGGGTCCCCGTGCCCCCCATGGGTGCCAGTGCCCCCCGTGACCTGTCCCGGGGGGAAGTTGTGCAGCAGCTGCCGGATGTTGTTGCTGTACTGGCGGTGCCAGTGCCTGCAGGCCCAGGCCACGGACCCCCAATGCACCCCTATGGGTCCCAATGCACCCCTTTGGGTCCCAATGCACCACTATGGGTTCTATAGCATCCCAATCCCCCCAATGCACCGCTATGGGTCCTATAGCATCCCAATCCCCTCAATGCACCCCTCTGGGTCCCAATGCACCGCTATGGGTCCTAGAGCATCCCAATCCCCTCAATGCACCCCTATGGGTCCCAATGCATCCCTATGCGTCCTATAGCATCCCAATCCCCCCAACGCACCGCTATCGGTCCCAATGCACCGCTATGGGTCCTATAGCATCCCAATCCCCTCAATGCACCGCTATGGGTCCCAATGCATCCCTATGGGTTCTATAGCATCCCAATCCCCCCAATGCCCCGCTATGGGTCCCCGTGCCCCCCATGGGTGCCAGTGCCCCCCGTGACCTGTCCCGGGGGGAAGTTGTGCAGCAGCTGCCGGATGTTGTTGCTGTACTGGCGGTGCCAGTGCCCGCAGGCCCAGGCCACGGACCCCCAATGCACCCCTATGGGTCCCAATGCACCCCTATGGGTCCCAATGCATCCCTATGGGTCCCAATGCACCCCTATGGGTCCCAATGCACCCCTATGGGTCCTATAGCATCCCAATCCCCCCAATGCACCGCTATGGGTCCTATAGCATCCCAATCCCCCCAATGACCCCCAATGCATCCCTATGGGTCCTAGAGCATCCCAATCCCTCCAATGACCCCCCAATGCACCGCTATGGGTCCTAGAGCATCCCAATCCCCTCAATGCACCGCTATGGGTCCTAGAGCATCCCAATCCCTCCAATGACCCCCAATGCATCCCTATGGGTCCCAGAGCATCCCAATCCCCCCAGTGACCCCCAATGCCCCGCTATGGGTCCCAGTGCCCCCCATGGGTGCCAGTGCCCCCCGTGACCTGTCCCGGGGGGAAGTTGTGCAGCAGCTGCCGGATGTTGTTGCTGTACTGGCGGTGCCAGTGCCTGCAGGCCCAGGCCACGCAGTCGGGCCAGTCCCGGGGCCGGTCCGTGACCAGGCTCCGCTCCACGGCCTCCAGCACCTCCAGAGGCTGCGTCCCCGCCAGGCGCAGCGTCCGCTCCAGGAAGCGGGGGTCCCTGTGGGGAGATGGGGGGGGGAAATGGGGCGGATGTGGGGGGAAAGGGGGGGGATGTGGGGGGGATGTGGGGGAGAGATGGGGGGGAAAGGGGGGGGAAATAGGGGGGAAACGGGGGAGATGGGGGGGAAATGGGGAGATGGGGGGGATGTGGGGGGAAATGGGGGGAATGGGGGGAAATGGGGGGGAGATGGGGGGGATGTGGGGGGGATGGGGGGGATGGGGGGGATGTGGGGGGAAATGGGGGGAATAGGGGGGGAAACGGGGGGGAGATGGGGGGAAAGAGGGGGGGAGATGGGGGGGTTGTGGGGGGGGATGGGGGGGGAATGGGGGGGAAATGCGGAGATGGGGGGGAAAGGGGGGGGAACGGGGGGGAGATGGAGGGATGTGGGGGGAAATGGGGGGGAATAGGGGAGGAAACGGGGGGGAGATGGGGGGGATGTGGGGGGAAATGGGGGCAATAGGGGAGGAAACGGGGGGCAGATGGGGGGATGTGGGGGGGGAAATGGGGGACAATAGGGGGGGAATTGGGGGGGATGTGGGGGGGAATGGGGTGAATAGGTGGGGAGATGGGGGGATGTGGGGGGAGATGGGGGGAAACATGGGGGAAGATGGGGGGGATGTGGGGGGGAATGGGGGTAAATGGGGGGGGAGATGGAGGGGATTGGGGGGAATGGAGGGGGAAATGGGGGGGAATGGGGGGATGTGGGGGGAGATGGGGGGGATGTGGGGGGAAGATGAGGGGAAAAACACGGGGGGGGAATGGGGGGAAAATGGGGGGAATAGGGGGGAGATGGGGGGAATGGGGGGGAGATGGGGGAAACGGGGGAGATGGGGGTGTATGGGGGTGTCACACAGGGGGTTATGGGGTGTCATGGGCGGCTTATGGGGTGCCATGGGGGGTTATGGGGTGTTACGGGGTGTTATGGGGTGTTATGGGGGTGTCTTGCGGTGTTATGGGATGTCATGGGCGGCTTATGGGGTGCTATGAGGTGTTATGGGGTGCTATGGGGTGCCATGGGGGGTTATGGGGGTTATGGGGGGCAGTCACCCACATCAGATACTGGTTCACGTTCTCTGCCGGCTGCTTGAAGAGTCCCTCGAACTCATCCCGTGCCCACTGTGAAGAATGGGGGGGGTGTGGGGTGTGGGTCAGGGTGCACCCAGCACAGGGCACCCCCATAGATCCCCCCACACAATGCACCCAGAGCCACCTACCCCACCCCATAGGAACCCCTCAATCCCCCCATAGCCCAACCAGAGCCCCCCTATGGGGCGTGGGGGGGGATGGGGGGTACCCAGCACAGGGCACCCCCATAGATCCCCCCACACAATGCACCCAGAGCCACCTACCCCACCCCTTAGGAAGCCCTCAACCCCCCCTAGACCAATCAGAGCCCCCTATAGAACCCCCCTATGGGGTCAGGGTGCACCCAGCACAGGACACCCCCATGGATCACCCCACACAATGCACCCAGAGCCACCTACCCCACACCTTAGGAAGCCCTCAACC